CGACGCGCGTGAGGTTCTGGTAGCTCTCGAGCAGCGCGCGCTTGCCCGCCGGGATCTCCTCCTCTAACAGCATCTGCAACTCTGCCATTTTCCACCGCTCCGCATCGCTTCCCCCGCCTTAAAGAGACAGCAGCAGCGGCGCCGCCGCCTCGGCCACCCGCCCACAGGGCATTGTGGGAGACTACCCCACCCACCCGCTGTGAGGCAGCCTGGGAAATGTAGGCCTCGGCGCTCGCCTCTGTGCGCATGCGTAAGAGGAGCAGCGCCTCCGCTGTCTCTTGCGTTTGTCTTTACCACCGGGCCCGCGTGGGAGACTCCCCTGTCCGCGCCGCGTCCCGGCTGCTACCGCGCTAAGTGTCTGGGTGGCGGCTCCCCAGCGAGCGCTGCCCGAGCCCAAGCGGTTTTCGGGATGCTTCTTTCTCATCCCTGTTGCTGGGTTTTTGGTTGTAGCCATGTTGGTCTAAGGACGCAGGTAAGCAAGGTTCTTTGGGTAGATGTGATCTCTTTTATTTGACCAACTGAGTAGTTGGAAAAAAGTTCTTGGCAAGCTTTCGGGCTCAGTCAAAGGTTGACAGCACCCAAAAGCTTGGCAAGAACTTTTTTCCAACTACTCAGTTGGTCTAATAAAAGATATTGCATCTATTCAAAGAACCTTGTCTTTCTCATCCCATCCTCTTTGGTTCTTCCAGCAAGCACTGCTCCCCCATTCAAAGTGCTGTGAGAAAGCCAGGAGGAAACCCTGGTGGGGGCTGTGGTCCTTGTGGGAATGAACCAGAGCACTCAGGCCACCAGAAGAGGAGGCTGAAGAGAGACACTTCTTCAGTATCTTTTCTGGGGCAGAGTATGGGTTCAGGCCACTTTTACTGAGTTGTGTGATAGCATCAGGCACGGGTGACTGGTGCCTCTTGAGTCAGTGACTGGGAGGGGAAGGGAGTCCCCCGGCAACCAATCCCACTGACCGCCTGCCCCCTGCCTGCCGGCTAAACAGGGAGTGCAGCCTGACGGGGTGCACCAGCACTCAGGGGGTGCATATGCACCCCCTACGCATTGCCCCTGACATCAGGCTTTCTTATAATTGTGTGCACATCTCAGCCAGGAGCTGCAGTGGCAAAACTAGAATAAGGGGCTGCGTCCAGAAGAGGACAGACGTTTGGTTCCCCGGGGACAAGAAACAGCCACCTTGTGCCACTGCTACTTGCCCCAGGCCTGTGCCAGGCTCTGGTTTTGGGTGGTGTGCACTGCCACCACATGCACTACCCCACTTCTCTTTGGCACAGGGTTTTTTGACCTCCAGGATCTCCTGGGGTCAAAAAACCCTGTAGCACTGCAAGATTGGAACATGGAGAACGTCTGCATGTGCAGCATGTGGCACTGCAGTTGGGTCTGTGGTGCCACATTCCGCACAGCCGCACTAATCTGGACACATCCACAGATTGCTGCTCAACTCAAACAGGCATATAGGCATCTGTCTTATTTGCATCTCACCTGACTTTGTGTTCATCACCAGAAAGGGGGTGCTATAAGGTCTGAGTCAGCCAACACAGAAAGTTCATAACAAGTGGTCTAGGAAGGTCCAGAAACTGATTTTCTTTTCTTTGCAATTATCATTGGAAATGTCACACCTGTGGACTTGGATGAGCATACTCAAGAGCCAGAGAGGAAGCCTCTACAGAATAATGCAACTAAGGGACATGTGATGAGCGGACATAGCGTTCTCCAGCTTTGGTTGATGTAAGAAACACGTTTTAAAGCATTAATTAAGCTTGCTGAACATGTCTTCTTGTGTACATGCACTAGCACAAGGATTTAATTATCACATTTTATGTTTTTGTATTAATTGCTGTATTATGAATGGTGCTTGTTTTGAAAATGATAAAGTTCTTAAGGGGACAACTCTGCCTCAGGATCTTACACTAACCAGAGCTGTAGTAGGCAGCAAATTCTCCTGCTGCTTTCATGGTTCCCTTTCTCTACAAACTGCCTCTACACCAAATACTTTGTATAATCCAAACAGGCAACCTGCTCCTGGTGTCTGCACAAGAATCAAAACTTTGCTGGAACAAGAAAAAGAACTTGAAAGGTCATATGTAGCAGCGCCACCTAGCTGATACTTGCTGTTAATAGCGGCTTACCTTTGTTTTCCCTATCCATTCAAAGGTTAAATGATTGGTCAAGCATTGGTCAAGCACAGCAAGGCAACATGATTTGAAAACAGAGCACACCTCTCTTGACTCAGAAGAAGAATAGCTGTGGTCCTATTCAAGATCTACCTACAAAAATAAGTTCTATTCCAGGGAGATGTTGAGATGAGATCCTGCACACAGCAGATTTTGTAGATGCTTAAATATGCTGCTGCATCACTCTAACTTGGCTTCTTATGCATGGGCTCCCTTTGGCTGGGATTTAAAGGCACCCATAAACACAGCCACATTTTGAGGCAGTGGGGCCAACCTTTTTAACAGACCTGCCACAAGTTAAGCCTTGCAGCCTCCCTAAGTGCTACTCTAATCCCCTGCCCAGTCCCATCTGCTGCTATCCTTTCTGCTTCTTGACTGATCTGCTCCCATGCTGCTGCCTACCCCCTCCTCAGTCTGCCATGTGCCACAAAAAAGCTGCCAGTGCCACTTGCAGCATGTGTGCTGCAGTTTGGCCACCCCTGTTTTGGGGCTTGGTTCCTCCTGGGTTAAGAAGAAGCCTCACAAATGGCAACAAAGTGAACATTTACTCAGTAATTTGGGTAGATCCACAACCCTTGGTCTCCTTTCTTAGTATCATCCTGTATGGGAAAGTTTTATCAACCATACTGATTACACATATAACCTCCATCCCGGTATCCAAAGTGAACACCCTTATGCTGGTACAAGAGTGGCTTATTATTATTATTATTTATCCCTTTCTCAGGGGAGACTAGTACAACCAAAAAAGGGCACTTCAGGCACTTTCATACCCGAATAAGATTGACCAGAAAATTATATCAGTAGAATTATTTTCATTTATACTTGCATTTTAAACCAGGGGTCAGCAATGTTTTTTGGGCAGAGTGCCAAAAGCACCCACAACCTCAACTTGTAAAATGTTCACATGCTAGGGCAGATGGTAGGGGAGCCGCAAGGGGCCCAATTGTTGTGACAGTGGAGCCCCAGCCCTTTCCCCACTGCCTGCCCCAAACTTTGTGTGCAAATAAAATGCTTTCACATGCCAAGCTCTTGCACCCATGCCAGGGGTTGCCTACCTCTGTCTTAGGTTTGTTGGGTACAGTTTATCTCATGTAAATATAGCCTTGTACAA